CATTAAACACACGTACGGTCAGCGTGATGTCTCCTCCGTCTTGATCCAGCAAGGGGGAAGGAGAGGTTGATGAAGATCCAGCAGCACAACGGTGTGGTGGTGGATGCAGCAAAACTCCGGCAGGGCTTCGCCAAGCTATTGCGGGAGGAGGAAGAGGTGTAGCAGGGGGAGGGAGGTGCCAAGACACATGGTATGGCTTCCCTCCCTCCCTCCCTCCTTTATATAGGCCCCCAGGGGGGGCGCCGGCCCTGGGAGATCCAATCTCCCAAGGGGGCGGCGGCCAGGGGGGTGGAGTGCCCCCCAAGGCATGTGGTGCGCCCCCCCACCCTAGGGTTTCCAACCCTAGGCGTAGGGGGGCCCAAGGGGGGGGCGCACCAGCCCACTAGGGGATGGTTCCCCTCCCACCTCAGCCCACGGGGCCCTCCGGGATAGGTGGCCCCACCCGATGGACCCCCCGGGACCCTTCCGGTGGTCCCGGTACAATACCGGGTGACCCCAAAACTTTCCCGATGGCCGAAACAGCACTTCCTATATATAATTCTTTACCTCTGGACCATTCCGGAACTCCCCGTGACGTCCGGGATCTCATCCGGGACTCCGAACAACATTCGGTTTTTCTGCATACTCATATTCATACAACCCTAGCGCCACCGAACCTTAAGTGTGTAGACCCTACGGGTTCGGGAGACATGCAGACATGACCGAGACGGCTCTCCGGTCAATAACCAACAGCAGGATCTGGATACCCATGTTGGCTCCCACATACTCCTCGATGATCTCATTGGATGAACCACGATGTCGAGGATTCAAGCAACCCCGTATACTATTCCCTTTGTCTGACAGTATGTTACTTGCCTGAGATTCGATCGTCGGTATCCCAAAACCTCGTTCAATCTCGTTGCCGGCAAGTCACTTTACTCGTACCGTAATGCATGATCCCGTGACCAGACACTTGGTCACTTTGAGCTCATTATGATGATGCACTACCGAGTGGGCCCAGTGATACCTCTCCGTTATACGGAGTGACAAATCCCAGTCTCGATCCGTGTCAACCCAACAAACACTTTCGGAGATACCTGTAATGCACCTTTATAGTCACCCAGTTACGTTGTGACGTTTGGTACACCCAAAGCACTCCTACGGTATCCGGGAGTTACACGATCTCATGGTCTAAGGAAAATATACTTGACATTGGAAAAGCTCTACCAAAACGAACTACACGATCTTGTGCTATGCTTAGGATTGGGTCTTGTCCATCACATCATTCTCCTAATGATGTGATCCCGTTATCAATGACATCCAATGTCCATAGTCAAGAAACCATGACTATCTGTTGATCAACGAGCTAGTCAACTAGAGGCTCACTAGGGGCATGTTGTGGTCTAAGTATTCACACGTGTATTACGATTTCCGGATAATACAATTATAGCATGAATAAAAGACAATTATCATGAACAAGGAAATATAATAATAATCCTTTTATTATTGCCTCTAGGGCATATTTCCAATAGGTTTGGAGTCCGGTCACCTCTTCCCGATTACCCCACGACAGGCCCGTCTCTTTCCAGGATGTGAGTAGTGTGGGGATGCCAGATTGGAATTCGGGGGCCCCTGCCCATTCAGGGTCACGCGGCTCGGTGATGTAGAACCACCCCGATTGCCACCCTTTGATGGTTTCCACAAAGGAGCCCTCGAGCCTTGTGACGTTAGGCATCCTGCCCACCATGGCACCTCCGCACTCCGCTTGCCGGCCGCCCACAACCTTCGTCTTGACATTGAAGGTCTTTAGCCATAAGCCGAAGTGGGGCTCGATGCGGAGGAAGACCTCGCACACGACGATGAACGCCGAGATGTTGAGGATGATGTTCGGGGCCAGATCGTGGAAATCCAGGTCGTAATAGAACATGATCCTCTGGACAAATGGGTGGAGTGGGAAGCCCAGTCCGCGGAGGAAATGGGTGAGGAACACCACCCTCTCATGGGGCCTGGGGGTGGGGATGAGCTGCCCCTCATCCGGGAGCCGGTGCGCGATTTCGTTGGACAAGTATCCGGCTTTCCTCAACTTTTTGATGTGCCCCTCCGTGACGGTGGAGGCCATCCACCTGCCTCCCACTCCGGACATGGTTGGAGAAAGTTGAGGTGGGAAGTGCGGACTTGGGCGCTGGAGCTCGAGTGCGCAGAAATGGATAAGCAAAGGAGGAAGAAGGCGTAGATGGAAAGGGTGGATCCTTATCCCCTTATATGGGCGGCCGAAACTATGTGCCCCCGCCAGCCTGGTAAAACTCGCTTATAACCCAAGTGCCGTGATTAATAGCACGGTTGGGTTACCCACGCCCGTATTGATGAGAATCCCGGAATAAGGGGACATGATCTCTGCTTTGACAAGACGTGCCAAGGAAACCGCCTCGCTAAACGCGCTAAGGTGGGACAATAAAATGATTTGAATAAAGGCTTGGTCGTGGCATGATGTCACGCTGCGGAATACGTCAGCAGATTAGATTTGTACAAATATTATTCTCTCTGCGGTGGTATGTGGAACTTATTTTGCAGAGCCGGACACTATCCTTGTGTTCAACATCTTCTATGAAGTATTCGGAGGAGAAACCCGCCTTGCAATGCCGAAGACAATTTGCGCGCCGGACTCGTCGTCATTGAAGCCTGGTTCAGGGGCTACTAAGGGAGTCCCGGATTAGGGGGTGTCCGGATGACCGGACTATGACCTTTGGCCGGACTCCTGGACTATGAAGGTACAAGATTGAAGACTTCGTCCCGTGTCCGGATGGGACTTTCCTTGGCGTGGAGGGCAAGCTTGGCGATACGGATATGTAGATCTCCTCCCATTGTAACCGACTTTGTGTAACCCTAGCCCTCTCCGGTGTGTATATAAACCGGAGGGTTTTAGTCTGTAGGACGAAGAACAATCATACCATAGGCTAACTTCTAGGGTTTAGCCTCTCTGATCTCGTGGTAGATCTACTCTTGTACTACCCATATCATCAATATTAATCAAGCAGGAGTAGGGTTGTACCTCCATCGAGAGGTCCCGAACCTGGGTAAAAACATCGTGTCCCTTGTCTCCTGTTACCATCTGCCTAGACGCACAGTTCGGGACCCCCTACCCGAGATCCGCCGGTTTTGACACCGACAGCAACGACACAGAGGAACTCTCAATGAAAGCACCAATGTCGGTGTCAAAACCGGCGGATCTCGGGTACGGGGTCCCGAACTGCGCGTCTAAGGCTAATGGTAACAGGAGGCTGGGGACACGATGTTTACCCAGGTTCGGGCCCTCTCGATGGAGGTAATACCCTACTTCCTGCTTGATTGATCTTGATGATATGAGTATTACAAGAGTTGATCTACCACGAGATCGTAGAGGCTAAACCCTAGAAGCTAGCCTATGATTATGATTGTTCTCCTCCTACAGACTAAACCCTCCAGTTTATATAGACACCAGAGGGGGCTAGGGTTACACAGAGTCAGTTACAAAGAAGGAGATCTAACATCCGAATCGCCAAGCTTGCCTTCCACGCAAAGGAGAGTCCCATCCGGACACGGAACGAAGTCTTCAATCTTGTATCTTCATAGTCCAACAGTCCGGCCAAAGTATATAGTCTGGTTGTCCGGATACCCCCTAATCTAGGACTCCCTCACCCGCGTCTTCTCGTCTCTCACTCTCCGGCGACGCCTCTCTCTATCGCCTAGCAGAGCTCCGCTCAGCCCTCCGACCTCCTTGCCCATGCTCTGCGCCGGACTGCTGCGGCTCTCCGCTAGCTGAAGCTGGAATACAACGAGTGGCTGCACCTCGCAAGCCCCTCGGTGGCGAATTTCTGGCACTGGCCGGCGACTGGGCAAGTAGCGGCAAGCGGCGACGGCAATGATAGATTTCATTCGTAGCTATCACAACAAGTTTGATTTGTGAACCGATTATGGGTGGATGCCTTGTATTATCCTAATCACAGCATCTTGGTACCTTTTCCTAATCACAGCAAGCTCGATTTGTGTTTTGACAGTTTTTGGGCATGTAGATACTTGTATTTTTACAGATTTTTGACATGTAGATACTTGTATTTTTACAGATTCTTGACATGTACTTCCTCCGTTCCAAATTACTCGACGTGGTTTCAGTTCAAAGGGAGTATATGACTGAATAACTAGCATTTATTTGACATTTTTTTATTACATGTATCTTGTTTGTATTTGATATCAAAGTCAAAAATTTGAGTGGTGCCATCAACAAATTCATTCCATTCCATCTCAGAAACCAAACACCGAAATGTAACCACTCCATTCCTATAAATTGCCCCTACCAAACACAAGGACGGAACCGACCCATTCCATTAAAATGAAACCATGACATTTCATTCCACTTCGTTCCCGAACTAAACACACCCCTAAAACACACTATAGCATCGGGAGTATATCAGGTGATACCACAACTTATATGCTCTCCTGCTATCAATTCAAAAAAATAAATTAAATGATTAAAATAATTCAACAATTTTATATGTTCTGAACACATATGTTTACAATGCTAAAAATTTCAGTTCCAAATTCAAAGTACACGCGGAGAAACAAAAAAGACAAATTCGACATGAATATTGTCAATAAAGACAAAACACATGAATAGTCTGAAAAAACTGCACTACATTGATTTGTTTTTTTGTTTGTTTCTCAGTATATATATCGTATTTGGATTTAGGGGTCGTTAACTACTCCCTCCAACATAATATAAGAGCGTTTTTAACTTATAGTGTCATATTACTCCCTTCAACATAATATAAGAGCGTTTTTTATCTTAGTGTCGAAAACACTTTTATATTATTGGGACGGATGGAGTAGTATATTGTGAACATTCATGATTTTTCTCCGAATTTTTCGAATCATTTAATATAATTTTTTTCAAATTGGTAGCATGGAGCATAGTGATGGTATCACCTGATGTTTCCTCTAAAGCACTCATTGCATGCCGAACAGATTACTAGCACATTAATCACAACTTAGTCCTGACCGTCGGCGCCTGTTGAATCGGCTGCGTCTCTGCCCATGAACCGGCCGACGACTCGCACGACCTCGCCGCTGGTCTCCGACCACGGGTCCCTCGAGAAGAAGCCGTGCTCCTTGCCCGCGAACACGGCGAGCTCCACGTCGTTCCCCACGGCCTTCATCCGCTCCACGTACCGGACCTGGTTGTCCTTCAGCATGTCGTCGCCGCCCACGACGACGAGCACGCGGCCGTCCACAAGTCCCAGGCCCGGGCTGTCCGGTCCGAGCGGGTTCATCAGCGGGTAGTCCTTGTTGGCGCCGGCCGGCAGGGCGAGCCGGTTGTACCGCTCGGCCACGTCCCGGCTCAGGAACGCGCTGCCCCGCGAGCCCAGCTCGGACTGCGTCGGCGCCTCGGAGGTGAACGCCGGCATGAGGAGGGCGTACCCAGCGATCCTGACGGGGCCGAGTCCCGCCGCGCCGAAGCGCGCGGCCATGTGGTGCGCGATGTTGGCGCCGGCGGAGTCGCCGGACACGAAGAGCCTCCCCGTGTCGGCGCCAGAGTCCGCGAGCCAGGAGCGGACGTCCTCGTCAGACCCAGATCCGTCAGCAGGCCCGGGGGCGAGGCGGTCGCGGAGCCAGGCGAGGGCGGCGGCGGCGTCCTCGTGGGCGGCCGGGAGGCGGTGCTCGGGCGCGAGGCGGTAGTCGAAGGAGAGCACGAGGGCGGGGAGCTCGTGGGCGAAGCGGAGGCAGCAGGCGTGCACGGAGGGCCAGGCGCGGCTGCCAATGCAGAAGCCGCCGCCGTGGAAGTAGGCCAGCACCGGCAGCCGCTCCTTCCCCTTCCCCTCCCGGCGCGCCGGCCGGTACATTCGCACGCCGAGGCCGTGGGCCGGGTGGTACACGGCGTCCCTCCACTCGACGCGCCCGTCGTCGCGGTCCTCCACCGTGTACGGCGCCGCGGCGGAGCGCACGGTCGTCCCGTCGCTGAGCACCTGCAGCACGCCGCGGCAGTCCTCCACGACGTGCGGCGCCTCCGTGTCGCCCGCCATCGCTTTCCCGCGGACGCGCGCGTAGACAGACGTGGAGGAGCTGGCTAGCCGACTCGATCGATCCGATCTACAAGCGCACACGTGACACGCCACATATATGCAGCGCGGCCAACAGCTACTCGGTTGTTGTGAAGAACGTGGTGGAGCGGGTGGGCGGTGGCGGTCAGCCCTGCGCTGCACGTTATTGCTGGGCTCCACGGCGCGCCAGAACTTACAGAAAAATCGTTCTAGATTGCGGAGATCGAATTCGAATTCGGTGGCTAACCTGGCGCGGCCGCGCACGCCTGCGTGTGCCGTGAGAACCGACAAAACTGGCCAGTTCAGCACAAAATAACTTTGTTTTTAAAATGTTTCATAAAATGGCCCTATCTGCACGGCGCTTGCATCCAGGACACCATGCCAACTAGCACAACACGGTGGTCAAAGGCGTCATACGGGTCGCCGATGACTTGCCACGTTGGCAGGACAGGGCACCATGGTGCCAGGGCGCCATGCTCAGCAGCATGACGCCCCTGCCCAGGGTGCCATACCCCTTGCATCACCAAAACAGAGTGTCTCCTCTGGTTCCCACCACAGACCCTCTCTTTTCCCCTTCTCCACCCGGCCGCCCCACTCATGCCCCTTTCTAATGGCCACAAAATTTCGTGGATCAGAGCTCCAAGTTGGTGATTCATCCTCCCCTTCGACCCCTCAAGGTATTCTTCATCATTCTTCCTCTTTTTGTTGGCTGAAATCTCCCATTGTGGCGATATGGGGAAACCATAGATCATCAAATTTTGCTATCTTTGTTGATGCATTTTGGTGTTTATGATTGTAGATGGCGAGGATCGTGAATGTGCATCATGTGGACTTTATCTCCTTTGAAAAGGGAAATGCGGAGTATGGTGACCCGAAGAAGAAGCCGGTAGTGATTGTGTTTTCCGCAAGTCCTAGCCTTGAGGAGGTTGTGGTTGATCTTTGAAGAAGGTTGAATTGGACGAAAGAAAGCGATGGAGTAGACTTAATCGGAAGGTATAATGTTTTGTATGGGCAACATATTCATTGGAAGATAATGCCTCTTGACTCCGAGTTTCATTGGGAAGCATATAAGGAGAGTGTGTTGGCCTCACAAGATAAATCATTTGAGTTATTTGCCACAAAGGTTGTTCGTGGTAGGTTGCACATTGATTTGAATTGGTGTGCATCTTCATGTGATGTTAGAAGCCCGATTTGAGATTCACAACATGTTAATCCGGATGTGTATGACACAACAATGAGCCAACCTCCAATGACCCAACCTTTGAGCCCCGTCGGGAATGACCAAGTTGATAATGAAGACTTGGATGGTGATGAGTTTGAGGGTTGAAAGATCGTGGATGTCGCCTAGAGGGGGGTGAATAGGCGCTTTAAAATAATTATGGTTTAGGCTTGAACAAATGCGGAATAAACCTAGCGGTTAATTTGCCAAGCACAAAACCTACAACAAATAGCCTCACCTATGTGCACCAACAACTTATGCTAAGCAAGATAAACTACTAGGTGAAAGCAAGATATATGACAAGAAAACAATATGGCTATCACAAAATAAAGTGTAAGTAAAGAGCTTGGGTAAGAGATAACCGAGGCATGCGGAGACGACGATGTATCCCGAAGTTCACACCCTTGCGGATGCTAATCTCTGTTTGGAGCGGTGTGGAGGCACAATGCTCCCCAAGAAGCCACTAGGGCCACTGTAATCTCCTCACGCCCTCGCACAATGCAAGATGCCGTGATTCCACTAAGGGACCCTTGAGGGCGGTCACCGAACCCGTACAAATGGCAACCCTTGGGGGCGGTCACCGAGCCCGTACACTTTGGCAACCCTTGGGGGCGGTCATCGGTACCCTTCAAATTGCTCGGGGCGATCTCCACAACCTAATTGGAGATCCCGACGCTTGCCCGGAGCTTTACACCACAATGATTGAGCTCCGGACAACACCAACCGTCTAGGGCGCCAAGGAACCTAAGAGGAACAAGCTCTAGGGTGCCCAAACACCCAAGAGTAATAAGCTTCTCAAACTTCACTTCCACGTATCACCGTGGAGAACTCAAACCTATGCACCATATGAAATGGGAAGGGCACACAGAATGCCCAAGTCCTTCTCTCTCAAATCCCACCGAATCAACTAATGCTAGGGAGGAAAATGAGAGGAAGAACAAGAAGGAGAACACCAAGAACTCCAAGATCTAGATCCAAGGGGTTCCCTTCACATAGAGGAGAAAGTGATTGGTGGAAATGTGGATCTAGATCTCCTCTCTCTTTTCCCTCAAAAACTAGCAAGAATCCATGGAGGGATTGAGAGTTAGCAAGCTCGAAGAAGGTCAACAATGGGGGAAGAACACGAGCTCAAAGGAAAAGGTTGAATGGGGAAGAAGAACCCCTTTTATAGGTGGGGAAAAATCCAACCGTTAGGCTCACAGCCCGCACAGAGTGGTACTACCGCTCCAAGGAGCGGTACTACCGCTAGGGCGGTAGTACCCCTTTGAAATACAACAACGAGGAGGCAAAAGGACAGTAGAACCGCCGGAGCGGTACTACCGCTCGTCCTCACGATAATACCGCTCGACCTCACGGTACTACCGCAAATGGTAGCGGTACTACTACTTGCGAGCAATACTAAAAAAATACTTCCGTGCCTATCTCCACTGAGCAAAACATGAGATTTTGGTCCGGAGCGGTACTACCGCTTAGGAGCCGCGGTAGTACAGCTCTGGAGCGGTACTACTGCTCAGGAGCCGCGGTAGTACCGCTCTGGAGCGGTAGTAAAAATTTACATCCGCTCTAGCCGCGGTAGTACCGCTGCGGCCTTTACCAAAACAGCCACAACTTCTGCAAACGGACTCCGAATTCAATGAAACCAAGTTTGTTGGAAAGCTAACGACATGGGCTAACACAATCTTGATAGAAATATCAATAAGAAGCAAATGAGAAAAGGCCCATAAGAAAATGCTGAGAACCCTTCCTCGGATAAGACCGGTAAAACCTCCAACACCGAAAACATCATAGAAGACGCATGCGAACTCCGTTTTCGATGAACTCAAGCTTGGCATCAAGATGACCATAAGCTCTAAGACTCGCAAAGAGAACCAAACAAGAACTAATAAACATTATGCAAGGATGCAATGGTTTGAGCTCTCTACTAACGATACGATTAAGCTACCAACTTGAGAGCCCCCTTGATAGTACGGCAAACGATCCTATAACCCGGTCTCCCAACTACCACCATGAGACCGGTAAAATAGAAAACCTATCAAGGGAAAACATTTGCCTTGCACATGGTCCACTTGAGCTAGATGATGACGATCTTGACTCCCTCAAATTTGACCACCTTTCTTGATTGCGTTGGCTCGATGAAGACTAGATGATTGCTCCCCCATAGTCCTCTATGGGTGAGCCACTCTTCGGCTCATCTTTACAAGTCCATTGTCACCACAATGAACGGCAAGCTTCAAGCACTTGATCTCTTCGTGATGCATCACTTGTACTTGCACACCGCGTCCTAACCACACAAAGAACTCTCACAAAGACCATGTGTTAGTACACAAAGCGTACTTGACAATGCTTACCATACCATGGGATCACATGATCCCTCTCGGTACATCTTCTATGCTTTGTGTGTTGATCAACTTGATTTACTCTTTGACTTAGTCTTGATCAACCTCTCACAAGACCAATCTTTTATGCAATTCCTTGAATAGCACCTTGGTCGACACAAACTCTCCTTGAAACCAACACATGTACTCCAAGAAAAGCCTATGTACAAAACCTTCAAATATAACTCAAGGCAACCATTAGTCCATAGAGATTGTCATCAATTACCAAAACCAAACATGGGGGCACCGGATGTTCTTTCAATCTCCCCCATTTTGGTAATTGATGACAATCACTTTCAAGAGAGTTTATACAAGGAATTATGCATCACCATGCAATGCAACAACCAATGATGCAATAGAATGGGATGCAAATGCTTAGGAAGAAAACTCTCTGAAACTCCTCCCCCATTGGCATCAATTGCCAAAATGGGTGAAAAGCTTAGAAGGCCAATATAAAAAGTGTTCCTCCATAAATTGTGTATTTCTCAACAAGAGAGTGGAATGCAATACACATGTCCAACGGTAAATACTTGGAGGAAGACGAACTATATTGAGGCCCAAAGATTGCAAAAGAATGATATGCCACAAATACATAACAAAGAGAAAGACAAGCAATCAAGCAATCAAAAGATACCAATTGAAGCAAGCAATGAACGGATATCAATTGAGCCAACTAGACCAATGATCCTACGTGCCACATGAATGAAATAAATTATGATAGGAGCAAAGGAGTGTTCTAGAGAAACTAGAGAAGCTCCCCATGATTTGTGCACAATTTAGTTTTGTAATTGGATACAACGAGCACAAAATAGGATCGTCACTCCCCCAATATCAATAGAACCTCATGACGAGTGCAAGAGAGCAACAGAGTGTTCTAACAACACTAGTGAAGTTCTCCATGATTTGTGCACTCCTTACAATATTTGCATTAGGATACCAAGTGCACAAAATAGGATCATCACTCCCCGAAAATCAATAGAAACTCACAACAAGTGCAAGTGAGCATGTAGGAAACAAAGCCTAGCACTTGCAACAAACAAATGGTTGAGCAACATATAAAAGAGGCAACTTAAGAGTAGGCTCAACCAAAATGATGTGTGTGAGTCATGGCAAAGCACTTGAGAAGACTAATGTAGGGATGAGCAAAGCATCAACATAGTCTTGGATAGTGGAGATACAAGGTGCATGACATGTCCTCCCCACACACACCAAGCAAAAGGGTTCACAAGCACACTAAAAAAGCAAAATGAATAACCAACACTTGTGACAACCCATGGTGAAGATAGAAGATGAAAGCCTCATCAAGACGAGGGATACCAAGATGGCAAAAGCCTCGTAGAGATAAGCATGAGGAAAATAATCTTCACCACACAAGAGTGCATCAAGAT